GATTAATAATGTCGGGTTGTTACTCTCTCGTGATTCCGGTCACACTGAACACGCCATCCTTTAACTATTATTACTTTTCTATTAATGTCTTTAAAAATCAATGTACCTGAGACAGTGATCTGATAGAAGGTACTTCCCTTCATTTGGTATTTTGGAATCGTCAGTTGTGAACCCCAAAATATCGGCAATTTGAAATCAGAGGAATTCACACTCCATAGGATCTAGAATTCAAATATCAACTATCTGTAATCTCACTACTGTATTATATTATTCTAGCAAGTTTGTAATAACTATAATATAATTTACTGAGCTTTGAGCCTAATTAAAAGTGTTAAATGAGTTTCATATAATCACAATGGCAGAATTGCAATATAAACTATATTATAAAAAACGTAGTTATTCGTAGTAATTAAATAATCATTACTGATATAAACACAGAGAGATACACATGTAAAATAATCTAAGAATCGTTGTAATTACAGCACAGTCAATTCATACTTGAATTGAAATGTTTATAAATATTACTACCTTTTTTCAATTAACAAAAGTATATACAAGGCTAAGAAAATATTCCTCAAGTTAATGATATACATATATATGTATTCGTAATTGAATGATAATTTATTTCATTTTGTTCAAAACAATTGAAAAATGTGATACTATTAAATGACATCATATACATGTTCACTCAGTATTTCAGTATTAAAATTCAGGCGTAGCTTTGATCACATCAAGACCATGATTGGTATAAGGCCCACCCATCTATATCTCCCTACAGCAAACATTCTTAACAGCTGTGATACCTTGTAGATACCAGCAGCTCTCAATAACATAGAAATACAAGATACATAACGGCCTTATTCACAGAGATATAGCAATATCTATAAGCCATTACATTCCTTCTATGCCATTACCACATCATTAGCTTCATTTATAAAGTTTTGAAGTGAATAGTTTTGTTCGTCTTGGTTTCTTAAATCAAATAATTTATTTTCAAAATGAATTTGGGCTTTTGCAAGCAGAAACGGGCAGTGACTCAATTGATGACAATTCAAGAACATATTATGGAAAAATGTGCTAAATGGAAGCATGCATTCTCTAGTCTTTTCTGTCGTGACAAAAAAATCATCACACCACTTAAAATTATGATTTCTGAGTCCGGTAGCAGTTTTCTAATTTCTATCATAAACTTCTCTGCGAATGGATATTTTAATCTATATCTTTGACTGACTCTGTTGCAGTTCTTTTCATAGGTTCTAGAGTTGTTACAGAGTCCTGTATTTTTTGTAAACTCAAACCAAATTCATGGAAGAAGTTACAATGTTCTTTGGCTAGAATTTATCGTGTCCTAATTCTATCAACGCAACAGTGAGGGTCCCTGGTCTTTGTTTCATTCAGTGCTTCTACATTACTAATTCATGACTTTATGTATTATTAATATCCTTGAACATACAGTGGACCGTTTGTATATCTCCATCATGACGCAAAGCTACAATCCTTGCTCTAGCATCTCACATACATTTTGTTGATAGACAATCTGTTATTCCCTCTTCTGTATTATTGAACGTATGCCACCATGACTTGTTATAATTCCTGAATATCATTCAATTGGCTTAAGAAGTTTGATTTCAAACGTTAATTTCATTTAAAAAATAACGCTCGTGTAATTTATCCACTGTACTTCTTTGGAGGCTTCAAATAACGTGAATGTAATTCTTTGGCTGTTATTTTTTTCTCTACTTTTTTGCACAATCTCTTCTGAAACTATTGTTATCACTAAGGTACCATTTGCTTTATATCACGAACAGTGTAAACACTATAATTAATCTTCTGAACTAAGAAATAACGCATCATGGATCGACTACAACTACCTACTTAACTTGATTAACAATATTAACACAAAAACTGTAACCTGCCTTGAACACAAGCAGAATATTAAGCTGAATAAATTAATTCCATATAAAAATACCAACAGTATTGATCCCAACAAGGTGATTTTTAACTTTGGTGACGTTGTACTCGGTGAATCCTGCAAAAATGCACTCGCTAAAGGCCGAAAGGTCTGCTTATCTCAACATAAACTTAAATTCATTTGATTATCTGTTCCCCTTTGAGAGCACTTGAAATATCAATTTATTTTCAACGAGAATCGTTCCCAAAACGTAGAGAACTTTGTATAAACAAAATTCAAAAACGCTGTTTTGTCTTCATTCTACAACTATAGCTCCCATAAACCTGTTTCCAGCATTATTCACGAAGAATATACTGCCCTAAAGGAATTATCTAATTACAAAAATATCGTAGTCACCCGACCTGATAAAGGTACAAGTGTTGTTATGCTTAATAAACCGAATTACATTAACAAAATGCAATGTATACTCAGCGATAAAACAAAATTCAAAGCTTTGATGTTCATTGGCTAAAGCTCACCATAAAACATAAAGAAAAAAATACAACGAACCTTAAGAAATTATAAAATTTGCAATTACATTTCAGAAAACGTTCTTGAAGAAATTTACCCCTCAGGCTCCAACCCAGGTCTAATGTATGGGCTACCAAAGTTCACATAGATAACATTTCCTTAAGATCTATTTTATCCATACCTATAAGTTGGCTAAATTATTCGTTCCTATTCTAAATTCATTCACTTTCAAATAGTCTACAGTTAAAGCTTCCATTTCCTTTGCTCAAGATATCTCCAAAATTAATAACGCTGACCAATATTTATTTGCTAGTTTTGACATTGAATCTTTATTCACAAATATTCCACTTGAAGAAACTATACAAATAATCTTAAAGAAACTTTTCTCCAACAAAAATAAAACATACACAAGCTTTAATTGCCAACAGTTCCAAGAATTACTTAAACTTGCTCTCAAGGATAACCACTTTGTCTTCAACGGTCAGCTATATGACCAAATAGATAGCGTGGCAATGGGGTCACCTTTAGGGCCGACACTTGCTAACATATTTCTTTGTGACTGTGACTGTTATTGGCTAGACACCTGTCCTATTGAATTCAAACCGGTTTTATATAGAAGGTATGTTGATGATACGTTTTACTCTTTCGAAGCTCTACTTACGTCAAACAATTGTTAGATTATTTAAATTCGAAACACCCTAACATTAATTTTACTTGTGAAACTGAAAAAGAAAGGTAAATTGCCTTTTCTTGATATCCAAATCAGCAGATTAGATAACCATTTCACACCTTTTTATCGTAAAAAAAACATATATAGGCTTAAATACTCGATTTGACAGTTTTGTTCCGAATTCCTTTAAACGTAACCTTACACTCAGTCTTCTCAATAGAGCATATAACATCTGTTCTAACTACCTCTCTTTTCATACTGAAATAACCGCCTTACAGAACATTTCAATAAACAATGGCTATCCCTTGCATTTTATTCAAGCCCTAACACACAATCCCTTTCTCAGAAATTTGAGCCCCCAAATACACCATACACTGTTGATAAATACCCATTAAGACTGATCGTTCCTTTCTTAAGTAAGCAAAGTTTCATACTGAAATCACAAATTTTAAGAATAATTAAAACGTTTTATCCCCAAGTTCAACTACACGTGATATTTAAATCACCCTTCAAAATACAAAATATATTCAGATCTAAAGAACTTTTACCTATCCCTATACGTTCCAGGATCGTATATAAATACACATGTGGTGGCTGTAATGCCACTTACATTGGCAAACCTATAAGCCAATTACACCTGCGAGCCTTCGAACGTATGGGAGTATCAAGTAGAACTGGTAAAAAATATAAAATCCACCAGAGTCTACAATTTCCACACATAGTGGAAACACCAACCACCCCGTCTTAATTACGAATTTCAAAGTCATCTCATCTGGATCTTCCAATACTGAACTTTTAATTAAAGAAAGTTTATCTATTATAAATGATCTCCCAACTTTAAATAATAACACAACTTCACTACAATTAAGTCTGTTCTGAATACTTGTATAATATTGTTTGCATTATCCTATCCTTTGTTTAATCGGTTGTCTTTAAATTTATTTCATCCTTTTATTCTGTATTTTAATTACTTTTATAAAATGTTTAAACTTTATATATATTTGTATCTAATAATCTACTCGCTGAAGATGGAATATGTATATTCCAAAACGTTCAAGAATTAAATGTTTGGTACTGTATACTGTCTTATTTTTATTCAGATTGCTTATCTTTTATTCATGAATATAAGTTTTTTTATTTGCAAGAGAAAATATGTTTTAATTAGCAGTTGTTAACCATTCCAATTTGCAAGTTTCATAATATTCCAAACAAGCAACATAAATAAAATCAACCAATCAGGAAGGTGGGCATTGGTGACAGAACATTGTTGATTGAATCTTGATTATAAATGTTATGATACAGCTTTGACATTAGAATCATTATATAATTATTTTAGGGCACGTAGTGAGTAAAACTGTTTGTTCTTAACATTTTATTTTATTGCTGAGTAATCACTGTTACATTGTGTTAATAGTGCATGACTACACTAACCTTTCTAACTTAACTTTATGTCTGTTCTAACGAGTGATTTGGAGCAGTTTGAAATCAATAAAAGTTCAACCTGTCATGGACATAAAGCATTTGTTCTGGCAAATGGAGAAATACTGTAAGTAATCAGAGAGGTTTCACTTCAGCTTATCAGTGTTGTTGATGGGAAAACAATGTATGTTATTACTGATCTTTGTTCAAGCATTGGTATCTTAAGTATAAATGTGCCGTGTGAGTTTCCTTCTAGCATATCTTGTAAAAGTGTTGATGAAGTCCAAGGGCAGTGGACTATACAAGTGCAGTGATGATACATATTAATGCTAACGTAGCATTCAATTAAATGCTACAAATACAGTCTATGACATTATCACACACTAATGCATTAGCATATACACACATTATAAAACCAATTCTAACATATTTCCAGTATTAACAAGGAACATTTGACATGTGTGTGATTAAAACAGACTCACAAATTGCTAACAATCAGATTTTTATTTATTATGCAGAAAAAATATCTAGCATATAAAAGAACACTATTGGCACACAAAACTTATGGTAACAATGTTTGGCTTTTGAACTTGCCAAAAATAAAAATACACAAGAATTTCGGCACATTATTCGATAACAAGGAACCCACTTTGAGACTAATAATGCTTGGAGATGGCTTGAATGGGCTGATTAGGTACCATTGATGCATGATTAGGTACCTGATGATGTCTTTACTGGTGAAACAATAGTTGTTAATAAATGAATTATTTGTGAAACATAAAATTGTATTTGTTTTTTTCCTCAGTTCTGTTCGAACTGGAAGTTATATGAAACCCAAAAGTATATTAAATCGTCAGTAATTTAATTACACAGGGATGCATTCAAGCCCATTCCACGTATTTCCACTTAACTACATGCATATGATATATTATCAAACTGATCTCTAACAATCTTAGGGATTGGCTGAAAATCACCAAGTCTAGAAATATCATCATCATATTTCCATAATAGTCCATTTGACATTTTATGTGCATATCTTGCAGGTAAGCCCATCTCGATGCGATAATTAAAATCAGCTTCAGCATCTTCTTTCATTTCTTTTTCACTTGGTAATTTTACTGATCCTCTTAGGACTTTAAGAAAAAGAAGAACCTGCTGGTGGAAGAGTTGAAAAGGTAACGTTAAGCTCTGCACGCCAAAAATGGCCATTGTTGGGAACTCGCAGTGAATGAGGTGTTTGTAAAGAGGAACCACTCTCTGATTCTTAACCGACACATTACATTTTGGATGCAAAAAATTATAGTCAAAGTTATACCCTGTACAGAGCAAAATAACATCTGCTTCAAATTGATGACCATTCATAAACTTAACCACTGGTCCATTAATCTCTGAAATACCACATATCTCTGTAAAATTTTGTGGTACTTTTTCAGGATGCTTCTTATCTAAATTATGGCTAAAAAGAACCTGTAGATAACAAAAGAAGAAAAAAGTACAATTTAAGTAAGTTTCTATATATTTACACATGGACAACTGAGACCTCATAAATATATTTTCCATAGTGTGTGTTGTATAGAAAGTATCATAAATATTCAATGTAACATTTACTTTATTCAAAAACTGAAGAAATAAGTGTGAGTTGTTACTTGTAGGTAAAGCAAGCAGCAGCAATAGTTAGGAAAAATTATTCTTGAGTACCAAGGTTGTTTTGTTCAAGAATATCTTAAACTAAATATCCTAAACTAAGAAACACATTGAAACTTTGATGTAAAAACTGATTACACTTGAACAGCTCAAATATCAGGACTATTTATAAAATTTGCAAGATTCTGATTGATATAAATGAAAAAAATAATTATAAAGATTGGGGATAAGATTTATTGAAACCTACAATGTATGGGTATTACGTCTACAACATACTTAAAGCTAACAACCAGTGTTGTGTGTTCTGTAAGCAAGGTACATTTTATTATTAAATTAGTGTTACTTTCAATATCAGTATTGGTAAGATGTTATAATTTTCCTATACTAAAAATACATTTCCGATAGGTACTTACCTCCTTTCACAAAGTTAGCTATTCTCATTCAGTGCTGCCCTTTATATGCAAACTTTTCTTTACGCATGCCACAAGCTTTCTGCTCCCCTCTATTGGAATTGCAAGATTCCAACATGTCTCTCATGCAAATCATCATGCGTCATCTCCTCACCAATAGGAGCATGACATGCTCACCTAATGCATTTGACTCCCTCTACACTCTTCTTTTACTTCGAAGTTTGGCAGAAGATGTCAGCACCAGCGAAATGTGGGGAGGAAGGGTGGGAAGTGTGAGAGAGGTAAGTACCTATCGGAAATACATTTTCAGTATAGGAAAATTATAACTTCTGATATGGTACTTACTTTCTCTCATAAAATTAGCTAGAATCCCACATTGATAAGTAGGAGGGGCCAGTACGAGGGAACGACAGAAGAACCCCCTGAAAGCATCAGAAGGATGTCTCTGGAAATAAGAGATTCAGATCCGAAAATCAGTAGAGGGGAACCGCACCACTTCTGAGCCAGGTATACTCTTCACCCATCTGTGGAATGTGTAGGATATAAATGCAGAAAACGAGAGGAGCACATCCGAGTGGGAGAGAAGGTGGCAAGAAAGTGATCCTAACTATAGAAATATATTGTAACTCCATCCCAAAATAAAGGATGCACCCCTAGGTGTAGAGTGACTAGGACATGACACACTGTCAAGTACATCCAAAACCTGCCTGCAGGGTACTGACACCTGCGTGAGGGTAGGATGAGGATCATACCATCTTCACCTCAAATCCAAGAATTGGGGATGGAGAACCACTTCAATTCCTGGGTATGACACGAGGATTAACTCTGACCTATCAATCCAGGAACTTGACATCCAGTATTGAAAGGATGTCTATCGCATGCAATCAACTCTCCCCACTGTGAAACAGGCTGGGACCATCCAACTGGCAATGACATTCCCATAAAAAGAGAGAATGAGGGATAGACAAGGACTGAACCAAAACAATCCCACATACAACTGCTTTGACCCACAACACAGATGGAGGAAATCAAGGGAGGAAGATAGACAAACCAAAACCTGTGTGAGGACTTATGTTGATCGGTTCACTCTAAATGCAAAACCAGCCTGCGGTGTATTGACATCTATGCAAGGGTAGGATGAGGGCTCCTGATCAAAGGGGTGAACTGCATTCTGACATCTCACTCCATTGTTAGTGGTTATTGCAAATAGGATATCACGTTATCTACACCCTCAGTACACCACTGCCCTACTCTGTAACTGAATAGTTATTACGTGGAATTCATTCAGCAGGGTGCCTCCGTGGTCAACCACCCCAGTGGCTTGGAAGTGGAAAGTGGTAAGGTCTTCCATACTCCTTTCGAAGAAAGGAGAATGACAATGCAGTGGAGAGACTGGAGGAACGTCATCACCTGAGACAGTGCAATGGGTGGTCACGAAACCTTATTTTGAAAAGCAGAGCATACTGAGTTATTCACTCCAGGTATGGCAGAGATGGGGAGCAATCCCTTTCTGCTTTGCCCATGCAATCCATGGGTGATATGGTCCAGGACAGGCATGTTTATGAAGCAAAATATCACAAAGTCATGCACCTACAATTGATCTTGTGGAATACCCCATCTCAACGGTGAGCATTCAAAGCCATGTAAGACAAAGTGCGAGTCAATATGGCTGGACAGTGTGGAATTTGAGTTAGAGAATACCTGATCAGGCCCCATTCATCACAGAGTGGGATCCATGGAATGAATAAATAGAGAAAGGACCCTGAAAAGAAAGGGAAGTCTGAATAAAAACTTACCAATTAGAGTCGCACTGAAGTCTGAAGAATGGCTACAGGTGGTAGATGAAACCCCAATGAAGAGGAAACAACGATATGATGGAGATAGTGGGAGATGAACATACTAGGTGTGGTCCACATGCTGGATTGCAGAATCTTCTCCATTGGATGATGAAGACAAGAAGCAAGGGCAAAAGTGAGGTGTCAGATCTGATGGGAGGAACCCTGCAACAAATTCCAGGAGGAACAAGGTAGGGAGGAATAGGCCAATTGAACCAAAAGATGGACCTAATGGGTAAAGGTAGAAGGTGAAAGATCGCAAAGGGAGGAGGATTGCCAGGGGATAAAGAGTTGGGAACGTTTACCCAGGAAAGAAGTAGTATGGGTAATATAACAATGAAGAGCCCTGACTGGGTACAGAAGCCTATCCAGATCCAGACAAGGGTAAAGATGGGAAATGGAAGGAAGGGAAGTAGGAGAAATGGAGGAACCACCTCCCACACTGCCAAGGTCTTCAGAAGAAAGGAATGATCTGGATAAAGGAGAAGATAGGTAGGGTGATAAAGGGTACGTGAAACGTCAATGGCAAACAAATCCAACCGGATGACGTCCATAGGCTAAGAGAAGAAGGAAATATGTTTTAAGGGAAAGATGGAACATGGAACACGAAGAAAGTGTTTCAAACAGAGGTAAAGTAAGGAAATGGAGGACCACATTAACATCCCAATCCGGAAGGGTAGGTCATCTGGAAGGACGAGGTATCCAGAAGGAATGCACGAGCATGGTAAAGACAGGGGAAGTATGGTATCAGGAAAAATTAAAGGTACAGGATAAGGCCACCTGATATTCGAAAAGTGATGAGACTGAAGACCCACGGTCAAAAAGCCAGGTGAGAAATTCTGCTACACGAGCCATAGTAAACCGGTCAGTGGGAAACCCCCTAGTTGTAGACCAACTATGGAATACTTTTCACTTACATTGGTACACCTCCATGGAAGATAGATGGATGGAACCAGCTAACAAGGAAGTGACTCGATGTGTGAAACCAGATCTTCTCACCAATGACCGGACAAAAGCCTGGCATGAAGATGCAGGACGTGAAGGGTTGGATGTAGGACATGTGACCAAGGTTGATGAAGAAAGTGGAAGAGGTAGAGGAGCAGTTGCTGTAACTGTTGAAACTAAGACTGAGCTGGCCAATAAGGAGCAATCATGAGGACCTGACAAGGAGTGAAGTGGATCAGAGAAATCACCTGATGAAGTAATCGGATGGGTGGGTACACATAAATATACTTGTGTGACCAATCGTGGCTGAAGGTATTGACTGCCAGAGCCTGGGGATGAGGTACAGGCGACCAAAAGAGAGGTAACTTTTTGTTGAGGCCCATACCAAAGGCATCCACTTGGGGAAAACCCCACCAATAGCAAAAATATTCTTAAAAATAAAGGCATCGAACTGATAATGCATTCTAATCCTTATAAGAGCAGTATACTTAATTAGCTATATTCACTACAAGGTTGATTTTTATTTTTGATCTAAGTAGATATGTTGCTCAGATAAGAAGTTAATATCAATACATCATAGAAACATGATATAAAATGTGTCAAAACTATGCAGCCCTTCTATACTGTATGTAATTGATATCTTAAATTTGAATAAAATTTGTTTAGAAGAGTTTCTGATACAGATAAAAACACTTTAATAAAACAGAAGCTGACCATGGTTAATAATGCTCTTATGTACAAAGCTTCATGAAATAATAAATGAAATTAGTCATCAATTCCAACTGCAAACTGAACCACACACACAAAAAAAGATTTACCTCTTCATGAATCATAATTTATGATTTGGCAACTAACCCACAAATAAGCCTATACAGTAAATTTGATGTACAAGGTTAACAATTAACTACAATTTCATTATTTTCTCTACACTTTGAATACCTAGATTGACAAAGGTGAGATTCAAACTCAAAAGGTCAAAAGAATGACCTGGACTTAGTATATATTCCACAACCTGTACTGAATGAGCACAACTTAGGATATAAGTTTTCTAAAAACTGCAAATAATTTTATAAAGGTGACACAATGCAATAATCATAAACTGGCCAAAAAAAATGGAAGTGTAAAGTTTTTATTATTTTTCACACACAAGATAACAAACTAACCAAACC